ATATCATATATCTCATCTCTCTATAGTTATCTCTCATTCTCTCTCTCTCCTCTCCCTCTTATCTGTCTCTCTGTGTATCTCTCTCTCTCTCTCTCTTGTCTCTCTCTCTCTCTCTCTCTATCTCTTCTCTCTCTCTCTCTATCCTCTCTCTATCCCTTCTGTATCCATTTCATGTCTCTGTTGTCTATGTCTGTCCCTGTCTGTCTCCTTTCTGTCTGCGTGTATGTCTCCTGTCTGTCTCTCGCTCGTCTCGCTCAGCTTCGCTCGCTCGCTCGCTCGCTTTGCTCTCGCTCTATCCCCACCCCCTCTCTCTCTCTCTCTTTCTCTCTTATCCGCGCACCTCTCTCCTCCGCGTCTCTCTCTCTCTCTCATCTCATCTCTGTCTCCTGTCTTTCTCTATTTCTCGTCTCTTTCTGTCTCCTGTCTGTCTCACTGTCTTGTCTCCTTCTGTCTACTAGATGTATATCGCTCGCTCGATAGCTCGCATTAGATAGATAGGATGTGTGTTATACTATTATAGCGACACACCCATATATCTATATATATATATGTACTATATTCTATACTATACTCAATATCTCTATCTAGATCTCTATCTCTTATCTATTTCTACTATCTAGCTATATATCTATTATATATATCTATATATAATATATATATATATATATCTATATGTGTGTGGTGTGTATTATATATATACACTCTCTCTATCTCTCTCTCTATATACATATATATATCCTTATTCTACATATATTCTCCCTCTCTATATATCTATATATCTATATATATATCTATCTCTATCTATCTATCATACATATATATATAATATTATTACATCTATATAATATATATATATATATATATATATATAATTATATATCTATATACGCTTATATATACATATTATATATATATATATATATATATATACTCTATATATATATCTATATCTACCTATATATATGTCTATCTAATATATATATCTATATATAGATATATATATATATATATATATATTATATATCTATCTATATATACATCGATATCTATCTATCTATTATATTTTATCTATATATCTATATCTATATCATATATATATATACATATCTTATATATAATATATATATATGTATATCTCTATATATATATATATCCATATATCTCCGTCTCTGTCTATATCCTATACTAATCTCTTCTCGCGCGAGCGAGCCGACGCTCGCGCGCGAGCGCGCGCGCGCGAGCGACGCGCGCGCGACGCCGCGCCGCGCGCGCCCGCGTCGCGGCGCGTCGCGCGCGCGCGCGGACTCGCTCGCTATCGCTGCTCGGTTCTCTCGTGCCTGTCTGTTGTCTCATATCTCTCTCTCTATCTCTCTCTCTCTCTCTCTCTCTCTCTCTCGTCTCTCTCTCTTCTCTCTCTCTTATCTATCTCTCTGTTCTTCTGTTCTCTCTCTCTTCTCTCTCATGTCTCGCTCTGTCTCTCGTGTCTCCGTCTGTCTGTCTCTCTTTCCTCCTCTCTCTCATTCGCTTCTCTCTCTCTCTTTCTCTATCTCTCCTCTCTTTCTACCTCTCGCTGTCTAACGCTCTGTCGCTCTCTTCTCCTCTCTTCTAATCTCTGTCTGCCTCTCTGTCTCCTCTAATTGTCTGTATATATGTGTATCCTTAATGTATCCTATCTGTCTCCGCTGCTGGTATCCTCTATGTCTATATATATGTATAGACATCGCTCGATCGCTAGATTAGATCCTAATGTGTATAATATAGTCCTACCACACACACCCCACACATCTCTATCTATATATATATCTATATATATCTATAATATATATCCTATATTATACTATCTATATATTATATATGTGCCTAGATGATCTACTAGTAGAATCGATCACGATAGCTCAGCTCTCTTGTCTATCGCTCTATGTATGTTCTGTATTCTCTATATGTACTATGCTATACTCTATACTATATAATATATATCCCTATATATATATACATATATAATATATACTTATTACATATATATCTCTCTTATATATATATATATATATAGATCATCATATTTATCATTATATCCCGTTTATAATATATACACTCCCCTCCTACATACTACAATATATATATATATATATATATATCTAATATATATATATAATATCTCTATAATATATATATATATATAATATTATCTATATATCTATCTATCTATCTTGTTTAATCTATCTCTTATTATATATATAGTGTGTTGTGTGTGTGTGGTGGTGTTTGTGTGGTGTGTGTGTGTGTGTTTGTGTGTGTGTGTGTGTGTGGTGTGTGTGTGTGTGTGTGTGTACTGTGTGTGTATATCTATATCTACCTATATATATGATATATATATAATATATATATATATATAATTATATATATATTATATATATATATACAGATATTACCTATATATATATATATATTCAATATATATAATATATATATATATATATCTATATACCTATATATATATATA